ATGTTATGCAATGGCCACGACAGGTGTATTTAAGTTCATCTCAAAATGGGGAAAACTATATGGAGAATGGGTAAATGGACATAACAGATGGATGGAAACCAAATTCAATACATGTTGAAATACAAGGCAACAATTGCTCGCTCGACATCTTGTGATTAGTTCTTGTTTTAGCTGAAACCACGGAAGAAGAGGATGTCTGGGTCCTGGGGAGGAGAAGAGCAGGATGCAGATGAAGTGAAGTTTATAGACTCAGATGAAGTGAAGTGACGGCATGCGGGACGAATGACTCAATCACCCATGGGCTGCATGCTACCAGATGTCAGACGGCATGCAGAGGAGATAGAAAAGACAGATCAGTGAGTAAAAAAAAGAGGCAAAAAACACCTTGTGATGAAAAAAAAAAAAAAAACATTAATGGTCGAGGGCCCACTGAAGACGGCATAATAACAAGACACCTGCAGACAGTCATGAACATTTCCATCTCACCACAGCCCAATGGCAGACAAGAGAGCATGCTGAAAATGAGAAAAGCCTGTGCAGGTACAAAAGAAAAACAATTTGCTATCACTCGCATCAATACATTTTCACAGTAAAGGACAATAGTTGGTCTAGTAATGAAGAAAATTGCTGGTATGGATTGAAAGAAGACGGCGACAAAGGTAGTGAACAAATACTGTACGCCTTTAGCAGTGCCTAACCATCGAGAAACAACACTTTTTTTTTGGAGGCTGTACTTTGTGGTCTGGTGAAGTAAATACAACATTAAGTGTCTTTCAGTCAGTGTTGCTGAGCCTCCGTAGTACATGTATCTTTCCCCTTGTCACATTACATCATTTTGTTATGTTTGCAACTGACAAACAGCAAATATGTTTTGAAGGAAACATAATGGATTCAGCCTGTATTACGTTTTCTATTAACATAATGAGATACTGGATACTGAAAATCAGTAAATTGTTCAACGACAACAAAATTTAACATTTCCAGCCAAAATATCAGATCTTGTAATACCATATACTCTCATTGTGCTACAGTCAAAATTTTTTTAGTAACTAACAGCAGCACCCGTTTAAGGTTAGGGAAAGATCGAGGTCTTGGTTTAATACAGTAAAAGTCTGCAGTGACCTGAATCGAAAAACGCAACATGATTATCAACATTTACCAAAACCACAATATTTCCCTTACCCACAGAGCTTTTGTTGTCTGAACTTAACCAAACACAGGACTTGGGATGCAAACCCTGTTCTCTAGAGACAAAGAGCTGAGCTTTGTATTTAAAATAAACGTAGCCTGTGAGCATAATCCAGGCAGAGAGGTATAAATGTAATTTCTAGGAAATACTGGATCTTCCAGAATACAACTCAACTATCATCAGGGAAATCTTCAATCGACATTATACAACATTTTTAATCCATGAGGAGTTAACTGGCTTAATGGGTAAAAATGTTGCGGTGTTCCTTTAATCCAGGTCTGTCTGACAAACCTGTTTACTTCAATATAAAAACACAGACATGAAGGCCAAATAGTGACTACCCTGAACTGCTGGTCCATCACATAAAAATTGCTAATCAAGTGTAAGAATCAATAACATTATGAGAATGGGTTTCTTTCAGACCACCATGTTGTATTGAAAGGGGTTTCAGTTATTTTTCCGTCCGTCCCCTGTAGCTGTGACACACAACTAGTCAGCCACTTGCCAGACGAGTTATTCTGAGAGATGTGGGGGTTTTTTTTCTCTTCCACACAATGAAATATGGATAAGAGTGGTGGGGATAGTGGGCAGCTGTCAACAAATTTCCACAGCGTCCCGCCACCACTGATCAATCAGTCGCGTATCTGAACCACAACAGTGCTGACCTGCTGGCTAGAGCTGACATTAATACTAAATCTTCCAGTCAGTGTGGAGGAACGTCAGGACACAACATGGTGGTGGTGGGAGAGAATTCTGATACGGGCTCTAACAAGGAAAGGTGCTGACGCTAATGAGTGTATCTGTGGCTCTCTAACAAGCCTGCATCGTTTGATGTCCTAATTTACAGTGAGCTGTGTCTCAGGGGTGCAGGATAATGAGCTGGCCTGGGATTCCCAGGGCAGCAGCTTGTGTAACCCACCTCATGCAGGGGACACTTTGTGTAAGTGAGAGACAGACAGAGAGAGAGAGAGAGAGAGAGAGAGAGAGAGAGAGAGAGAGAGAGAGGGAGAGGGACTAGCCAAGCAGAGAGAGCAGGAAGGACATATTCTATGTCTGTAGGAGAGAGGAGGGCGTGAGGGCGTGAGGGGGTGGGTGCATGTCATCCCTGCTTGATATGCTTGTTTGTACACACCAATCATTGAATCGCTGCAACCAAGTGACAAAAGCTTGTGTTCTCTGTGACAAACTGACCTCGGGCCACAAAAACACTCACAGAAAGAGGAAATGGAGAAGGAAAACTAGTGGGTGGGGGGGAGAAGAGGCAGCAATAGAGTCTAGAGTAAATGTTGGATTAAATTCTTATGGAGCTACATCCCATCCACGAAACACCTGTCAAAGACTTCCCTTTTCCCTCGCTCTGCTGTGCTGAACTCAATCAAAACATTTTTTACAGAGCAACCCAGAACGAAAATCTGGCTCCGAGTGCACTCCAAAGCAAATTAGCAAATGTGGAGCTCAGTGACCTCAGTGCAGAGACCATCCACACAGAGTATGCGGTGTGCTCTACCACCCCCACCTCTTTACTGCTGCGTCTGCATGGCTGCATTAGTCAAGCTCAAATGGGTTTTTCCGCCATGAGAAGCAGAGCATGACATGCGCTAAACAATGGCAGGCAGATGACGAGCCAGCTCCATTTGATGATGGCCTCTGCCGACGCTTTTTCTTTTTTTTTGTTTTGGGGGGGGAATATAAGGGCAGCGTGATTCATTAGGGGTGCACAGGTGGCCCGAGATCTAATGAGTCACATTTTGTTCAGTTCTAACATGCAAATGGCTCAAAGGGGATATGTACGTGCCTCAAAAAACACACATTTGTTTTAGATAAGAGTTGTGGTTTTTCTCAGATTTGTTTTTTTTTTGTGTCATGACGTCGTTTCTTTTTTAGAAAATGTTTCCATTCAATACCAAAAAGCTAAAAGTGCAACAACACAGTGGCAATGACCATTAACAGCTAACACGTGGATGATAAATTTGCCACAATATTCAGGTTGACTTGACACCTTAAAAGTCAAGAGCGTTAAATGCTGTTATTTCATGCAACTAAAAGCTGTCATCATCATCTACTTAATAAATAGACACTGACTGTTTCCATCAATTAACTTTCAGAGGACTATTTGTCTGAGTGTGAATGCTACAGCTGGTGTTTCTAATCTGTCTCAGCTATTAACACTGCCCCCCTCTGGCTAGCTGGCTGCCTCATTAAGATGCTGTTTTTGCATCGATCAGTCGGAAATTGAGTAAAAAGAGAAAAGCTATAGGATGGGAGGCATTTAGCTCTATATTTAATAACAGATACCCACTTATTGAGAGAAAGTAATCTGTAAAAAAACACACTTAGATGTAATTAAGCAACAATAAGTCGTTGGAGTGACAGAACAAACCTCAAACTGCATGATAAATCTTGCCCGGCTTGAGCATCTTTGAACAAAACACAAAAACATCTCCAAAAATAGCTTGTTTCAACATGCTAGTCAATTCATCACAGGAGCCACAACAATCCAAATTGTACCTGATCTATTAACTGCTCGCCACTGAGCACCGTTTGAACGTTTGACCTTCTAACACAGCTCATGACATTATGTTGACATTTAAAGTAATCCCTCCCACGGTTCTTAATCCCAGTGGCCGTGGACTGCCCTGACCCATCCTCTGAGCTCAAGCCCCTTACATGCACTCACCACACACCGACAGAAAAAGGCAGGCAGGCAGACAAACACGACTCTGATACCCAGTTAAGTCAACAACACCTCTGCGCTTTAGAAAGCTCATGGGGCTCGAAACAGGCGGGGACGAAAAGGGCTCGCTGATTATCAAACACAGGCTGGGGCATTAAGTCACACACTGAGACTGAATGTGTAACATGATGATGGCCCCCCGTTAGTGCCTCTCATGTGCTAGCATTACATTTGATTTTTCAAAAAAGTATTACCCAGCGATTATTGGGAAAACCCAGAAGTTCATTTAAGACCACTTACAACTGTAATTAAAGTATTTCCAGAATCCTTAAAGACTCTTCTAACATCTGAATGAGAAAATATTATGCCCACCGCATAATAAAAATATTTTTAACCCATTTCCTGCGGCTGGCAGTAGCCCAATATGACATACCGTACTCGCTCAGATAATAAAGCATTATATTGTATATAAATGTAGACTATATACCAATATAACCTGCACACAATATAGTCTTTACATTTTGGTTCAGGTGCAATGGCTACCATCTTTCCATTAGGAAAAAGAGGCACAACCAGATGTTAGACGTGTCTTTAAGGATTCTGGAGATACCTTCTGAACAGCTGTTAGTGCTGTTAGATGAACAGCTGTGTTTTTCACTTGTTTGTAAAATCAGATGCTTTGTTAGCTCTGTGACTCAAATGTAATGGTAATTATGAAAGTCAAATCTTTAACCTAAAAAAAAAAACCCCAACTTAATATGCCAAGCTACTGGAGGAGCCAGGAGAGATACAGTCTCTGTGCAAATTCTGTGTTGTGACTTTGCCAGATAACAAGAGGAATTATGAAGAGATAAGATGTGTCTGGACTTGTGTGACGCATAAAAAGCCTGTGCTGCATCGCAATCTGCGTAATTCACTGTGCAGCTGATCTACACACCAATTTACTCCATCTATACATGAGTCTGAAACTGGCTGTAATGCATGTTCAAGTGGCAGGATGTTTTTTTACTTACATAATTTAGCTTTCGTTATAAAATCGGTATTTATGTATTTAAGTCTTTTTTCTTTACAATCGTAGAAAGTTTCACTTGTGCAACCGGCCCAAACAGATATTAAAAAAAGTGATGAAATGAGAGGTACAAGATGACAACCCATTTATTTAGTAATACATTCTGCAAACTAGAAATTTTATTCAAACTTCAAAGGCTAAAAAATGAAAGAAAGGAGGGAAAGAAGGGGAGAAAATGTAAGGGGCAGGAAGAGAAATGCATCAATTCACAAGCAAGGAATGCAATTTGTTCAATCGACAACACAAATAGTACAATTTAGTTCAGGGAACAAAGCTTTTTTTAAACATTTTCTTTTTTTTTCTGCCATTCCTTTGGAGCTAGAACATAATACAAAATATACAGTTATTGAACTTTGTAAAATCACTCACAGAGGCCTCTGAGAAGCATTTGAATCAACATTGACAATATCTACAGCACTCTAAAGCTATTCTTGAATGTAACCATAAATATAGCAGACATGAATGTATGTATGCACATTTTGAATGCTTACGAGGTTACCATGTTAAAACACTTGCATTTGTTAAAAGTATGACATCATCTGCAGTGAAAAATTAAATAAGCTTTCAAGACTGAGATTCAATAAAGTAGCATGAAAAAAACAAACCAAAAAAAAAGCATACAAACGAGCGATGGTTGAAAAGTTGTACCTTGTGACAACCAGGACAAAGTCACTTTGTTGATAGCTTAAATACCCTAACATGGGGACAGTTTTTAATCTATAAGAGTGTAATGTCAGCAGCATCACTCCTCATAGTGTTTAGTTGAACAAGTACTTTAGGGGGCAACATGAGACTGGGTAAGGCAAATCGGTGAGCTTATTTATGAGCTGAAAAAGCTCAGCAAAGTGAGGCTCAGGTCGCCCTGTGAGGGGACAAATAAACCACCACTGCTAAGGGTCACTCAGTAAACGCCACAACCGAGGTACAACAGTATGTACAAGAGGGCGCAAGCTTTTAAAATCTCTTCAACTTCTGCCAGGTAGTCCTCCGTACAAGAATATACAGGATGCATTCCAGGCAACCAAAGGTAACTCTGTAAATAGCTTTATAATCTTTTTTTTTTCTACAATAACAATTTTCTGGAAAAAAAAAGCTGATTATACAGATGATCAGTGCATATGACTATTGTCATTTAGTCCCACATCTCACATTTCTAAAACCCTGAACTCTTGATACAATTCTAGATTTGAGCTAAGTGAGCATCACATAAGTGGACAAATTGGTGAAAATAACACAGGTGAGCATTTAAGGGCATTGTTTGAGAGGTGGTGAGGGGATCAGCTTATACGACAAGGCCAATAGTGTTCCTAGTCACTAGAAATAAGTTGTCATTTGCAGTAACCACTTAAATCATTACTTGTTTTCTCAACATCAGCACAATTCAGTCAAATACTGTACATTAGCACAGGCTTATCCCACTCAAATAGATCAGTGTTAAAATCACAAGTTCTAGGGGAGAGCCACAAGAAAGCTGCTTTCATTAAAGTCTCCACACATGAACTGCTATCTGAACAGTTTGGATCTACATTACACGAGACAAAAACACTTCCTATAAATGTTATGAGGTATTTCAGTTCTTGAAAATTAAAACAAGGAGAATAGATGCTTGGGGTCATGTTCTTTTGGGGATGGGGGACTAAGAGGGATAAGAGGGCTTTTTTACACAATTAAGTAAAAACACCCAGATGTCACAAACTACATCCAAGCCACTGTTAATATCTGCTAACATTCCAGCTACAGCAATTCTGAGTATTACAAAGCTAATTTCTAGTTTTCCTTCAGTGGAATAAAGTTGCTTATTGAAACGGGTAAATAACCAGCATCATTTAAGGACCACATCCTGAATTGTTTTAATTTCTGGGGCAATACAAGACAGTCCAGGGACGAGGACATATCAATTAACTCGAGATGCCAAGAAATATTGTTTGTTCCTTATTAAGCTTGAAGAAAAAAATGCATGAAATGTTGCTTTAAGAGTCCTCAACACCTACCATGTTTGCAACAAGCAGCTGGGGGCTGAAAACTGTTTGATAAAAGAGACATTTAGTGCACTTACATAATGTATACAAGCAATGCAGCGCAAAATTAAACAGCTTACAGTACAGTTGAAATAAAAACTAAAGGAAAAAAAAGGCATTTTTGAGCAAACCAAATAAACTGACGTGAAGGGTTTTCATTAGTAGGTACACAAATATTAGTTAGTATTGTGGTATACATATAATAATGTAATTTTAAACCAAAAAGATGGAAATTACATTATGTTTCTATGTACTGCTGTTTGTTGCAATTGAGCTTTTTGATAGGAAGGAATATTCAATAAAACCCATTTTCACGCAAAAACTCACAACAAAATCAATTTTCCTACTTGACATGTTAACTGTATTGAGTCAAGACAGGAAATCTACAGAGTTATAAGATGTTGTTACTCATGTCATTTCTAGGGCGACTGTCTGTTTAAAGGTACCCTATGGAGTTTTCACTGTAAACACACAGGTTTACATTCAAACACTTCTTATCAAAATGCATTTTGTTTATCTCTAAGGCCTAACAAACATGTTTAATGCTAGTAATCAGGTTGCGGTCTTATCGTTCTTTATCGGTTCACTTTTTATGGCATGTTACCACGACAACAATTGCTGACATACACATTACTGCTCTGCAACGTCAGCAGAAGTGTGATTCACATCACCTCTTGTTTTTGTCCTGTATGTTCATCCTTGTTTTCAAGCTAGTACAGTGTGGACGCAGTCGTTAAAACATTTCTCTACAGCACCACCAGTGGTCAGAAACTCCAAAGAATACCTTTAAAAGCTAACAAACAATAAAAGTCTCTCAGAACTCACTCTAACAACTTAACATTTTAACATCTTTTACAGGTAGGTTCTCCCTTTATATTGTTACTTCTTGTGATATAGACTTTGCAATTACAAAATTTTAGTGGTCTTTGGCCTTTATGACACAAAAGCATATTAGAGAGCAGCTAATTTAGGATTAGTTAAGTTAAGTTAAAGTCTTTGTTATGTTAAAGATTTAATAATTTGCTACCCACCACCAACCTAAATGTGGTGAAATAGTTAGGATTGTCATTTTGAGAAATGAAGAATTACAAATTTAGTCCATATTTATTGTATATTATATAAATGAACCTGTTCTAACCTTCAGTGTTAATCAGAGGGACACCAAAGTATAGAGGGAAACCTTTGTTTGCCAAAACACACACAAATTCAACTAACCATCTCAAGACAAACCAGAATCACATTTTGTCCATGGCAAAAAACTAACTCAAGCGACATGATTTATTCCTTGAAAGTTGAAGTCAAAAATATATACATACATGAATTTCCAACAATGCAATTTCACACAAAAAAATAGCGAAAATAAATTTGAAATAAAACCATTTCTCTTCAAGAAATATATCTACTGTGTGTGTTAAATACAAATTTAGTCAGTGACTATTGATCTTTTCAGAGGGGGAAATTAACAGATTTTTATTTTTATTGTTTTAAATCAACCCACAGATCATCAACACTATAGCAGCAAACCGTATTGTGCTCTGGCTTATGGTGGGGTGGGGGAGGGTTTTAAGCAGAGAAAAAACTGATGGCAATAAAAAGGTGCTATACAACCATGAGCACTCATTACAGTTAGCCAATTTGTTCTCAGATTTAATGTCCAAATAAGACCGTGTGAAACAAAACAGCCTTGTAAGTTTTACAGTCAACAGTTTCTCCTATCATCAGACTGATAATGGGTGATTTTCTTTTAAAATAGTCAGTGCTTAAACGGTTCACATCAGTCAAATTATCAGATGTTAAAGGTAGAAGCTAAAAAAAATCTATCTGTACCACATACAAAAACTGAATCTCATGAAAAACAAAACTTGGCATAGGCTGTAATAAAGCTGAAATAAGTGATTATAAATCATATGGCACCCATAGTGGGCACTGGTAACGATGTACATTTAGAAACTGATATTTAAATATGACACAATAGATGTGTAAACTAGTCAAGACCTAACTAGCTGCAAACCATTGCACACTATGGGTCAATTGAACTACTTGTGTCATCTCAGGTTACAGTATAGTTCTGATATATAGCTTGAAGTTGTTCAAATAGCGTAACAGCATGTAAACTCTGTTATCCAAAGCTTTTTGGAATAAGAAGTAGTGAACGCCTATGTTGAGTTGATATGGAACACTGGCTGAAAAAAGAAAGGGGGCAGACAATGGGTACGCATTGGGAAAGCAAATCCCTTAAACTCCAGCTTGGTCTGTTGTCTAAACCACCTTAGCAAAATTTAAATTAGAGTTGCACATACAGATCTGCCTTTACACTAACACACGTGCGCACATACATACACACAAGCACCCACGCACGCTTGCAAGTATCTATTCGCACAGACAAACGTGTTAACAGGGGTATTTTTTTCATCAGATGCCTTGAAGAAATGAAAAAAAAAAAAAAAATATTTTTCACACTTCCAAAATGACTGAGAAACACCTTTGCCATTGCCATTATTATTTGAGCATGTACAGAAAACCACTTACAAAAATAAAATACAATAAAAAAAAGCACAGGGAAAAAAATAATTAGGATTTAAATGGTTTGATATAGAGAGCTTACTGTGCTGTCAACTATACAATTTACCCGTTTCTTAAAGGAGAATAGACTAACTGAAAAAAAAAGAAAAGAAAAGAAAAGTAAAAGCGCAGAGACATTGTGCCTGGAGGACAAGCAGAAATATTCACTGAATAGACATTTGTTACAATTCCAGAAGAGCAGGAAAAGGCAGATAGTGCATAAAAGGTTCTCTTTTTCATTTCTTTCATTTTTTAACTTAAAATCAAGCTGCATTAAATACAGGCTGTTTGTACAGGACAATTGCACTTCACAAAAACAGAAATATACAAACACACACAAGGAAATGTGAATCAAATTAATTACAGCAAAAAATCTTACTACTTAAGCTGATTATTTAACAAAAAGAAAGAAGACCTTGTGGACTTGTTATGGATTACTTTAGAGGAGAATATTAGGGTGGTTGAACATAAAGGGGAGACAAGACGTTAGGGATCCTGAACTCCAGCGTGGACTGGTGCTGCACTATTCCAGGTTTGTGTGCATGCAACTCCTCCTCTTCCTCTTCCTCCTCCTCCTTCTCCTCCTCCTCCTCCCATGAAATTCCCTTCTTAGAAACCAAAAGCTCAGAGTGACGGAGAGACAGACTGCTGAGCTGAGCTGCTGTGGATCTTGAGAGGATGGTGGTTTGTAAACTCTATGCTGTGTTAGTGGTAGGAGGTTGTGTTACCACATGTCGTCTGTGGACGCAGAGTCCTTGATAAGAGAGAAGAGGGAGGAAAAACCCTTCAGACTCTACATGCACCAGATCTCTATCAAGAGCTGGACAGGTTTAAGCATGTAGGATACAAACTGACAGAAAATAAAAAAATCATCCAGGAGTTGATGGCGATATCAACACCATTATTTCCCTCAACATCTTTGATGCTACTGTAAATACTTTTACAGACAAACTGACATATTATTTTATCAAATAATGAACTTTTTTTTATGAAAGCTGCATTAATTGACTACAGTTGAGTACCCAACACCACTATATACCATCCCCATAGATTGTAAGTGTAATTCAGGTTTTCAAGGCCACCTTGTCATGTATCATCATGTACTGAACACATACCAAGTATAATCTGTAGCTTCTATTTGTTTCAAATTTACAGTAAAATAAATGTTTTCAAACATGATAACAGACCTTACAGTTCAGGTAAGTGTAGTGATGATTTTAGCACCCTTTCAGCCGAAAAGCAAACCACAAGTAACAAGACTGATTGATATCGTTAAACCAAATCTCTTGATCACTGCATATGATCTACTGCAGTATGCAGCTATAATACGTAAGCTTGTAAGAATATAAATGTTCTGTCTCACTAAGAATAACAGTAAAAGTAAAAGTTTAAAATCTGCAAATAATCAATAATTGCACAATAAATATTTGGTTACTGTTGATTCAGGTTTGTTTAACACTTTAACTGAAAAACATCTAACTTGTCACTATATGGAAGCTCTAAACTATTTAAATTACGATACAATAATTGGTCCAAGGATTACACAAACTAATTGCCAACAGTTACATAAAACAGATGCCGCTTGAATGTATTTACTTGTACATATGTGATTGACTATATACTGTCAATGCCCATATGCGATTGATTTGGCTCAGGATATGACTTATTCAAAAAGCAGACCCCAAGACACATGCCAGCTATATGTTCATATAGCTATATTCACAACCAAACGTGGATGAAAACAAAAATGTGCAAGTCACAGAACTGGAATCAGTCTCTAAAATACATGTGTAACATAGAATACCAACCAAATGATACAGGAGACATGTATGCTACTTTATGCATACTTGTTTTAATCTATTTAAGGCCTCCTCTACTTCAGGTTTAGGGTTGTTTTAGGTTTGTTAGGAAGTGAAAATGTTTGAAGACTCTGACAAACATTGCGTAATTTGCCACCTTTCCCGAGTTTAGACATTAACCTGGCATCGACCATCCATTGGGTTGAAACCTTAAATGTGAAAATATATGAATTTACTATAGTTCAATACCCACATGCTAAGAGCTCAAGAATATTCTCAAACTGACTGGCATTATTCTTATACCTGTTGTAACTGCAGTTTCATTTTAGCACTACTTGCAGGATTCATCGCTGATGATCATGTTTGATAGCCAATCCTAAGGATCGATATCAGGGCTGATCCAGGGTATATTTGAATGGATCAATATCGGCAGTGTAGTGAATGTGAAAAACAATCTTGGCGCACTGGTGCAACTGACATAGACACCTGGATTAACATAATACACAAACGAGCTATGCTCCAACACTAATTAATATAACACCACTGTGTCTAGTAAAATGTTCTGATTGGGTCAGGAGTTCTCAAACTTATATCATACACTCATATCAATAACGTAATCTATAACCAGTATTTAGGGCAAAAAAACTGACAAAAAATAGTCAACGCTGCATACATACACCGAGCATCTCGGAGAACTAAATTTTCAGGTTGTATGTTGAGTGTGCACTTGGAAGTGGTTTTATTTGGACGAATGTAAGTTTTGAATATTGAAGGTCTTTGATCTGCATGTCTTGAAATTAACTTGTTACAATGAGTGAGATGTCTGCAAATAGTTAACAGCTTACATCACTACAGTTTAAAATAGGAACAAATATTGTTCACAACAAAAACACCTGAATGTTTCCCTGCATTATTCATTTTTGTTTACAAGAAAAGTCTAATTTTAATCCTATATACCAAACTACTTGTATATGGATAAAGTAGTATAACTCCTTACTAAAGTTAATGTCAAGTTGACGTAACAAAAGTAACACACTTTATCTATACATTTCTTTATGGATAAAATCTATTGTTTGTGTATTATTTCAACGAATACTTTTGATTTGTTAAAAAAAAAACAAAAAAAAACCGTTTAAATTATTTGTCTTTACACCACTGTGAGTTTTATGGAGAGGAACTGTAAATACTATTAATAAAACCTTCTGATAAATGTTTTATCTTAATACAAACAAAACTGCCAACAACTATCAGGAGATGATGTCTATAGAGTTTTGTTCCAAAGCTAGACAATGCCTCAGAGATTACGTAAAAGCAGTAAGGGATGTCTCAAACCACCTATCATTATCAGAAAATGGTGATTGAGGTATAGTAGTCTTTGTTCTATTATTGACACTTATTTGTTGTGGACCTCAACTTCAAAAAGACGGCCCATCTGAATTTAAGGAAATTGTACTGGCAGGTGTGGTGAAGAGTTAATATTTCTGGTGAAAGCACAGCCACTACCCTCATAGAGGTAATGCAAAATACCTACTACAGACTCTCCAAGGTTAGTCACAGATTAGACACAAGGCAAGAGAAAGAGAAATTGCCACCTACCACTGTATGCAGTGTGTTCATGACTACATCTGACATCCTTTCTTATAGAGATTTTAGTTACATTGTGTGCTTTTACAAAACACTAACCAGTGCCGGTATGACATATACCCTGTTAAAAAACACACAATTACACAGCCATACTGAAATATTTGACTCCTGAGTTTAGTATGGGCTATTAGGATTTCTTGTCACCTATCTTTATTTTCATAAGTGACAGACGGTTAATACATTTTATACTCGGCAAAACATTACCTATTGATGTCAAGGTCTTGTCTTAAGAATTGAGAAACAGAATGAGCCAGATGAATACATCAGGCAAAAGGACAGAAGCCTATTTCTACAGTGCAGACTAGATTACAAAAAATAAAAAAAAATCAATAAAAAACTGCATTTACTTCATAAAGGGTGATTGTCAACCACACAAGGATAAGTACGACTACTAGGATAACTAGATGAACAACAACAACAACAACGGGCTGCATATCATAATGTTTACTGTTTGAAAAGAAGGCATGTGAAGACTGAGAAAAAGGCAAAAAGAGTGTGTGATCTAATGAAGAGAACAGAACTCTTCAATTATAACGCTACATGCTATCACCATGGTCCCAACACCAGATGGTGATACAGATATATTCCTAAGGAGATTCTGGTGGGAAAGATACTATCAGAATGTTTGTGCACTAGGGGTGTAAAGGGCAGTCCACACCGACAACGTTAACTGTAACAATAATGATGTGAGCATCTACATTGATGAATGATAATGTTGTGTAAACAGTGGACCTAATGCGCCGCACAGCTTAGGATATGGGTTCACGGTAGAGATGTTCCTGGGGACTAATCTCTGTCAATTAAACAGAAATTTAAATTCAGAACAGTCGACTAGTCTTACTACAAGCAAGAATACACTTGAAAAAATAGCCAGAATTGAGCATGACGTATTCGATAAGGTTGAACAATGTCTGAAAAAATATAGCCTGTATTTAACAGCCATTTGAAAACATTATATAGATAGTTAATAATAACCTGAGCGGGATCAAAGTGTCAGTGGGTTGGGATGGTGAACAATTAAATCAGTCTTAGATGTAACAGCTAACCAGCTTTGTACAATGAAGGCCTACATTAATTAAATATTAGTAAGAACAGAATAGTATTTTTCTTTAAGCAAATAGCAAGGGTAGCAACAGTTAAACGACTAGTAGACTAATCACACACATCCTTAGTTTATTAAGTTCGGCGCTAGGAGAATCCAACACTGGTAGGAGAGTTGTCGTCTTTTGAAGCCAAATTTTACTTCAATTAAAAAGATGATATCATTAATGGCTTCAGAGACCCCATCAGCGCAAAAGACTGTGTCAGTATGTCTCAGGTAAAATGATGTTTCATGTGTGATTTGCAGCCTTAAATTACGTTAAATAAGTTGTATAACACAATATCATTCATCAAATCGCTCTGAGTGATCACAATGATATGGTTCACCCCTGTCGTTGTCTTTATAGTTGTGGTGTGGACTCACTTGACTTAAAAGATATATTTATAGTTATTGTTATACTTATTGTTCTTGGTGTGATGTGTGTAGATCGCACAAAACTTTAACAAAGAATGAATAAAAACAAACAGCAGGAAATGTCCTTCATTTCTTCTAAAAGGCACAACTAATTAAATTAAGTTGATATGCAAATCAGTTTTTTACCTTCATGAGTTCGTATCACATTTTTAACTGATATACTGTGCAAAAGTATAGTGTTGGACACATATAGCAAAATCACTACTGGACTGGCTTCAGAACAAGGCAGTTAAAATCCTTGGGTGGCCATGTCAAAGCTAAAACTTGAATTTCTTTAAGAGTTATTGTAATAATTTAAAAAACTGTTCACAGCTTTTCCCCTTCCTGCATCACCAAGATGGAACTAGTCTGCAAACAAGTGGACAATGTCTAGATGTGCAAAAATGTATCCTAGGAGACTAGCCAATTCTGCCAAAGGTGGATCAAATGACTGACTGAGTAGTCATTTGATCCACCTGTAGATAGATAAGGTATTCTATCCTTAAATACATCTGCAAGCATTTGTAAGAACCTAATTTCACTTTCTCCACGGGAATCCTTTTGTAGTCTGGTGGCAATTTTTATATTCAGGCTGCACCACATATTAACGAGGAAGTCAAGAGACCAGGCGTTTCTGAAGGTACCCTAATTTTTTAGATAATTCAATGTTTGAAAGTAATTTTAGAAGTCCATCTTTATACAAACTAGAAATACTGAAACAAAGTGCCAATTTTCACTGTGAAGGACAAGATGACAAGCACAATTAAAATGTAGCCGACGCAGTGAGCTTATCTGCTGAAAATTTAAAAGCACAATATTTGAGTGGACAAGGGCAACAGCTTTGAGGTCTGTTTGTATGCAAAGAAATGATGAGCAATGTTCCTTTTAAACAAGTATGTGAGAGAATGTAGGTTTTTATTCCATCCACACAAATACCAAACAATTTCACTTATTAGCTCTCTCCTCTTTGATTTAAGGAATACTGTTTAGTGAAATCAGCTCATGTGGTATGAAACAGAGCCTTTTTGCCACAGGACCTGCAATCCAATTGTGGTATTCTGTCAAAATTAAAGCTTGTGCAATTGATATTTTACTAGGAGTATTTAAAGGAAACAATCAGACCATTGTTTGCCAGTGTCAGCCATATAGGTAAATTGTAGTGTTACAATATAATGGTACTTTTATGCATTTTCTCTCTTTTTTTTTTATTCACATAAATTGAACAGAAGACAAAAAGACACACCGGAAAGGTCACTGTGTCATTTTAGAGTCGATCAGAACCATGTTTTCTCACTGCATTTTAAGTAAAATTCACTTGGCAACAAGAATATTTCCTTGTTCCATCTTGTTGAATACCAACGACATGCAAAAAATTGGTTAGAATTTGCTGGTCACACGTCAAAAATCATACTTCAAGCCAAGCATACCTACAGGGAGTTAGAAGACAAGCTGTGATACTTACTGTGTCATCACTTCGGTAGGGGTTGAGTTTGTTGTAGACCGCTTCAATAACACTTCGTCTGAAGGGAAGTAAAAGTATGAAAATGTTAGATGTTACAAAATAGAATAATAATAATAATGATGATATAAAAAGAGACTGAGTAATTAAACTGTCAACTGTTTTGTCATCAATTCTAATCACAAAGCTCACTCACTTGCTTGCCAGTTCTCCTCCAGGGGGGAGGTTAGGGATGGCCTCAGATGCTAACGTCCGCATAACATGGACCAAATCTGGGACACCTTCATCCCCTTGCTTTTTGAGGATTTCTGTTTGAAAACAAAATTACAGTCTTAAAATGTTTGGCAAGAATGTGTTTCTAAAAACAATGTGATTGATATAACGCAATTAAAATGTTGGAAAAACTTGTATCTATGTGTATAACGATGTGTGGAAGAGAAAAAACTGACTGAATATTATCATGTTTAAATTTAAGCATAGAAGTTAGAGTAGGGTAGATAAATCCTGAAGGGACACCATTACTATTATTGATACTGCACTCTCTCTCTGAGTCAAGGGTCTAAGGATGCTAGACAAGCACTTTGTTATGCATTTCATATTATGTACGCTTAGATAGAAATAGGATTATAGGCTACTGTTTTGTGTGTGAGAGGAAGATATGGTAAATTGCAGTGTTACTATTTACAACAGTTTTAGGGATGTGTTGTTTTGTGTGGCTTTTTTTTAATGTGTTGAATCAAACTCAGTCAGACTCTAAGATGTTATGTTGAATACTTATTATTATTAGTGTGGTGTTTAACCATTTTCAAATTCTGTTTTCACTGACCACTGTAGATGCTTTCTAAACATAAGTGAATCATAGGAACACAACTGCTTTGTGTTTACCTGGCTCTTCACACAGCTGTGCCAAACAAGCATTTCTTTATTTAAAAACTAATGTAAAAAACAAGGAAAACATGGGGTTTACATTAAACAAGGAAAAGTCCATAACCAAAAGAAAAGAGCATTATTACGACAATATCCCACTTTATCTCTCTACTAAATCCTACCTTCTACTCTGCTCTCCAGATATTTATCCAGCTCAGCCTCCCGTTTCACTGCTTCTGGAGATACCTTTGGGGCCCCAGGAAAGCAGATTAACACAACACTCATATTGTCCCGGCTTCCCTGTGGAAAATAAAGAACAAAAACAGAGGTTGTGTGAATCAACCATGACACCAAAACAGACAGTGTGTAACAAAATGTCAATGTAGGTTTTGTGGACTACCATACCTTGTACAAGCAGGTGTCAACAATTTCATTGCTGACTCTTTCAAGATCATCTGTCACCTCTAGCCTTGACCTGACAAAGTCACACAGTTCCTCATTGGCCATGACATCCCAGATGCCATCACATGCTAGTATAATGAATTCATCTTCTCCCTCGCATCTCTCTATTGCATAAACTTCAGGCTCAGGTGACACAAGCTGCTCTGTTGGGCCTTTTCCGTGCACACACTTGTAGTCGAAGTCTCCCAAAGCCCGAGACACAGCTAGGGACCCATTAACTCGCTGGATCATGACTGAGCCGCCGGCATTCTGGATCCTTTCCTTCTCCAGAGGGTTACTGGGTTTGTGATCTTGTGTGAAGAAGTGCACAGCTCCACCCCGGCTGAGGAGTCCCCGCGAATCGCCACAGTTGATAAAGTAGATATGGCTTGGAGAAATCATCACTCCCACTGCAGTGGAGCCACTGCGGTCCACACCGTGCTTCTTCTCGGAGATGGTTCGCATGTGTTCATCGATCTGCAAGAATCCAGTGCGGATCCCATTCTTCACGCTATCCACAGAGGCGTCTTCCTGCAGAGCAATCTGGAAGTCTGAGTTGCTGGTGATGTGCTCCAGCAGGTGCTCACAGCAGTACTTGGCCACCTGAGAGCCAGCATGCCCATCATAAACAGCAAAGAATGACCAGGGGTCAAGACCATGAGGCAGACCAATTACTGCTGTGTGTGCATCTTCCATCTCTACCCGCCAGCCCTGCATGCTGCTCAGCCCATACCTCAGGTTGTTACCCTCACCACGGGAATTGTATTTTTCCATCTTTGGTTTGTCCAGAAATGCACCCATTGTTTCCTCCTTAAGACCTGAAACACAAATTAAAAGAAAGAAATTAATTTACAAGATATGGCAGAAATGTTGTGTTTCCTACAATAGCTAATTTAAGCACTGTGGATATATTCAGTTTCAAGTCATGTTATTATGTAAAGGTATGTTGGGAAAAAAAACGGAATATTTTTCCAAAAATTATACAATTTATTAGTGCTAAACATAATGAATAATTTTCTATATAAATAACAACCCGTATAACATCCATTTGTAGGCAGATTAGCATCTAGGAGCTTCAGGTCAGGCCCCCTGCTCTAATCTAAAAATAGTGGACCTGTGCACACATTTGGGCTACATATTAGGAACACTGCTGGTGTGGATCAGATAGAAACGCCCTTAAAACAGATAAAGTTGAACATAAATCGTATTATGAATAGACCGCTGGACAGCATCTCTCCGACCTTCGCGACGCACAACACTTCACCACACTGAACTAACATAATAGTTAAAGCCATCGTTACATACCAACAGAGCTAACGTTAGCTAACCGACTTACCAGTTACTCGATAACCACCAGAAAACAATTTTCAGGAGATCTGACAAATCAAACATTAATGCTGCCGCTGTGGTAAACTCATAAACACCATAAACCTGCTCAATACGGACGGCGTGTGGTGTTGGATTAACGTTAAAAGTTAGCTCTGTAGTAAGTCCAGACCACAACCCAAATAAACAAACAGCCTTGGCTTGTTGCGGGCCTTGACCCTTGTCCCTCACAGCTAACTTTGACAGGCCTCTCTCTCTCTCTACCAGGGTTTGCTAGCGTTATGTTGAGGCAACGAGAGCCCTCGGCCTATCGCTGAATGCTAACGTGGCTAGGAGAGCTAGCTGCCCCAACGTCCCCCCCCCCTCCTCAACAGTTGCTGGCTCGAGAGTAAACACTTTGTGACTTACCAAATATCCAAAATACCAGCTGACAGCAACTGAAGCAGCGACGGTAACAAGGACTGACCGGCCGCAGTTCACACCGGAGAGCTACACCGACGAAATCAACCGGGGGGAGGGGGGGGGGGTTGCAGCGGTTTAGCTATGCTAGCTAGCCAGTTAGCTAGCAATGAGCAGTCGTCACTCAGTACTCAGTGCATATAAACGGTTTCAGCGCGCGGGTCCCTCGGTGCGTGCGCCCGTGATCATTACATCATCTCAGCCGGCGATCGAAAAGATCTTCGGATCGATTTCCTTGTGAATTTGTGGGCCGGAGCTTTGTGTGGGTGAGCCAGGGGGAAGCTGAAACGTCTGCCCCAGCCTCTCCACTAGACAGCTTGACAGCTTGCTAGCTAACGTTAGCTTCTGAGGAGCACCGAGCCCCCCCCCTCCCTCCTCCCCCCGGGGCAACAGCGCCAGGCTGTGAGGGGATTTCTGCGTAGTGGCCGCAGCGGGTAATTACAACTTCCGGCTCCGTTTCAGAGCGAGGCTGTCACAAAGCCTGATGTCATACATACTGGAGGGCCTTGGCTAAGAATATAACTTGGATTAAAAGTTTAAAAACTTACCTCACTAATACTTTTTTTATTTTTTTTTTTTTTTAACAGCTTATATTTTTGAGAGGGTTTGATTAAAGTTATACACGTTTTACCCAGAAAAGCGTTTCACACAGCTCCACTAGATAGACATCTTGTACAAAGATTTTGTATTATTTTATGAATATGTTATATTTGGATTCTTTAGCCATGACGTTAAAGAAAAGGAATATATTATACATTTTATTTTAATTTTTCCAGCCAAATTCTATATGCAGACCGCTTTTTACTGTATTTTTTGCAAAGATTTTGCACATTACATAGATCTCAATCTTGTACCAATAAAAACATTGTTAAAAGCTGTAAGACTATGTGTTGCCTGTAGAGTATTTATGTAAATAAAATGTTACCATTGCTTTGTTTCTCCCGGATTATCTCCTGTGTTCTGAAGGAGCAGATCTCTTTGGACTGATATTGTGGATTAAACGAGAGACACTTGTTCCATCTATGAGTTTTGCGCTGACTGTAATGATTCTTAAATTGTCTATACAATTACAAATTGTGACTGAAATGTTACCCCCCCCTTTTATTAGTGTATTTGTTTATTTACATATATATTTTGTCTATTTTTCTCACCTTCTGCACTTAACCCTCTGCTATGTTTGAATGTATGAATTTTGCATTGAGGTTCTTCTTCTCAAAATGAGTGACATGTGAAATTTTTTTTTATTTTTTATTACAACTTCCGGGATCATCACATGACGCACATTGGCCCACAAAGCATTTTCCCCATATACAAATACATTGGAAAGGAGCGGCCGTAAAATCGTAAATATATTTTTCTCACAGTCACAAACCGCCCAAAATGTATTGTTGTAATTAGAATTGGCTCAATTCAGTCTAATAACAATTGCAAAGTCTAGTGTGATCGTGTGATTATATTATTTTACCCCATTGGTGTGTGCGGGGGGCGACAGGGAGGCAGCTCGGTCAGCGGAGGTCTCGGAAGCGCATGCTCTCCGCCGGCTCGATTGGAGAAGGAGTCCTGTGCGCATGCTCTGCACGCAGTAACAGTGAGCAACTTTCATAGGAATGAATGGCACAGAGCCACTAAGACAGGACCCGGATGTTGCAGGTTGCGTACTCGAAAACATGACATCATCCCTGAAGCGTTGTGGCTGCTCAGCCTGCAACAGAGAGGGCATGTACACAGGAACATGGGCACCCAAATCTGATACAGCCTGCACATCGTGCCACAGATCTTTATGGATTGAATGTAGCCTATCTGGCATCTCAAGCACACTGTGCTCTTATGTCATTTTAATGGGTGACTGAATCGCATGTGCAAACAATCAAAGCTGTAAGGAATATTTGTCATATACAAGTTATATGTGTAGTGTAATGCAATACGATGTGCTCCTAAGTTTGTGCTAAAATAATAGTGTGAAAAATAAGAATTACAAACAAATACTTGTAAATAATCATAGGTCACAAGTGCAAATATACAATGTGCAGTGCAAATGATTCCGTGAATACTGTGCTGTTCAAGGCTGAAGATATATGGACAAATATGTAAGTCAAGTCAGAATATATTCGAATCAGTTGATGTTTTTAATGTAGAATGTAAAGTCCTCTTGGTTGCTAAACCCTCAGATTCCTCAATGGTATATGCCAATAGGCAGTATAATTAATGACCATGTTATTGTTCTGGTGTTCAGGATTAGACAAGCCTATGCTGCATATGCCATCTGTATGGCTGACACCAATAATCAGAGAAATAAACTGCCCTTTTCAACAACAAATACACAATGCAGGAGTCTGTATGTCCTTGATGCTAAGAAACACTCTTGTCCACTGATGATGAGGATGAGACAAGCGGTACTTTACAGACTTAATGTTTGTTTTTTGGCATTTTACTTTTTATTTAACAGGGCAGTAGAGAGACAGACTGGAAATGTAGGTGAGAGAGAGGATAACATGGAGCAAAGGACCTTGGGCCAGACTCAATCCTGGGCCGCTGTGGTAAGGACTCAGCCTTGACACGTGGTACAGGCTCTACCCGGTGAGCTACCGGGGAAACCCACAGATTAAATGTTTTATATCCAATGCCATATGTGATAACAATGCTCAGGATTCTGTTGTAAAACAATCTGTACCTCTCTTAGTAGAGCCCAGTGTGATGGTCACCTTTTCAGCTTCTGATATTTCTCTGTTGACCTGTGCATTATTGCAGCATTAGAAGCCATGGACAAATTCTTCCATCTCTTTCTTGAGGCTTTTTGTATTGCTGCACATTTTAAAATGGGAAGAGTGAGCCTAGCTTATTTTGGTTTTCCATCTCTGTTTTGAAAGAGAATTTTGAAACCATGTTTTAGAGAACTAACAAGTTTCTGTGTAACACTTTGTCACTGTTGTGGTTGAAGGTCATTATTGCAAAAAAGCTGAGATCCACCACAGAGAGAAAAAAAGGGGCAGTTTCTGCAACCTCATGCAAAGGCAGACTAGGCGAAGACTATTGCCTATGAAAAAGAAATAAATACAGTATAGATACATTTGATTGATTGTCTGATAAACCGGCATTATATAGTGAAACCATTTCAAAAACTGGGAATAGAAATATGAACTATTAAAGCACAATAACAGTTGACATGAATGGTTGTGGTGTGTTAATCTAAATTAAAAAAAAAAAAGAAATTGCCCCAGGGTCCACTTGCAGGTTAACCTGACCTGGCTGAAGATAGTTACAATAATTAAACAAATAAAAATCTTTTACACCATTATTATTAATTTGTCTCCATCCATGGTGCTTTGTCCCCCCCAAAATCGACAATCACTGAGCTTTAATTTTGAAAACATCAGAGCGGAAGTGACGTCGATACTCGTTATCTGCAGTTTGTTGTGATTGAAGCTTGTTCATGCGGTCGTAGCTTCTTAACTTCAGTCATAAGTCTTTCCATCCCTTTTTATGAGATGGACTGTTGCATTGTATCTGCGCTGTGGTGTTTAATCCCACTCTATCTACTTATTCACTTCCTGTGTTTCGTTTTCGCGGATGCAGACTTCACTCTGCTGTGGGCGAGTCTGTTAGGACACAGGCCAGGTGAGTCTTCATGTGTCCTATTGAATCCAGTGACAATGGCTCTGTCCTCTAACGTAGGACAACGCAGTAACAATAAGTAACTAGCTGGTTAACGTTTGATCCATGACAGTGTTTAATGGTGGTCCTCTGAGCTCTTCAAAGATCACACTACACGTTTTATATGTAGGGAGGTTTTCTTAAAGTCTGACTCTGCTACATGTTTTCATATCAAGGACCAGTAGTGGAAAAAGTACCCACACATTTTATTTAGGTATGATGCAAAAGCAGTGACAGTAAATACATATTATTAGGAATATATAGGCTACTAAAGTAAAAGCAGAATATATGTTATATTATTATAGGATCTATTGTGTAAACACTATTTTCCAAATGTAACTGCTTCACATGTTTACACTGTATATATCTTAGCACCCCATACTGCTCTTTCTATTTATCACCCCAATACACACTAACTATACTCTGCACCACACTGCTTTTTGCACTTCTTGTTAGATGCTAAACTAAATGTCATTCTCTCAGTACTCTATGCAAAGACAATTAAGTGGAATCAAACCTAATCCAAACATTGTCATCATGACAGTTTGTCCACCTGAGAGTACTGTGAAGATAATTTCTACACTGTAAACGTGTTTCACTTAGTACGAATCTTGGTCACAATTAAAAAAGAAAGACATCTATGGGATCTGTATGAAGATACTTTGTTTACATTGTGTGTTTTTGTAAAAGAACAACAACTTAGGGCTTCTGATTTTTTTAAACTCACAAATCTCAATATCGTCCTCAATAATCCAGTATCTGTTGGGCCATAATACTAATGGATACATAAGAAGTATTTCACTGTTGTAGCTAAAAGGTAAAATATTTTCCTCTGAAATAAAGTGAGGTATAAAGTGGCAAAAAATAAAATACACAAGTAAAGTACATAAAAACTATACGTGTATATGTAAATATTAATTTCCACCATTGTCAAGGACAACACACAGGGCAAACAACATTGATTTAAAAAGAATATCCAAGTTAAATACAGGATGAAACATTTTGGCTCTCAAACCTTTTCTGGCTTTTCAAGTTCATGCCCTACAATAATTAGAAAACAATAATAATGATAGGGGAACCAGAACTAATGAAAAAGTTGATGTTTAATGAAATAAAGGTCAGCATAACGTTTTCCCTACATAAACCATATTCATTCAGCTTTGTTCCACTCCATATTTTTCAGTTGTGTCTTTTCATTAACCAGAGAAGAAGCTGAAGGGGCTGGTGGTGTGGGTCACTGGAGCCTCCAGTGGTATCGGGGAGGAGCTGGCCTATCAGTTAGCAAGATGTGGATCACGTCTAATCCTGTCTGCTCGACGTGAGGATGAGCTAAATAGGGTCAAACGTTGCTGTTTAGGTGAGAGATTTTTTTGTTTTGCAAGGCCTTTGTATGGCCCGGCTTAAATAAAGTTTGTTTAAAATTCACAGTACTTTAATTTCTACTGTTTAAAACTGCAGTATAATAGAGTAATAACATTAACACTTTGCCACAGGACCTTTCTTTCTTCTCACAGGCAGCCTTTTTACTCTTAAACCAACAGTAAATTGCACAAGGATTTCAGTAATTCATCTGAGTTTGTTTAATTTTTTACTTTTATTCTTACTCAGTTGTGATCAGCTGAATTATTTTCGTCATTTATTCCTAAAGAGTGCTCCGACCTCAGGGTTGAAGACATTCTTGTTCTTCCACTCGATCTGTTGGAGAGGACATCGCATGAGGAAAAAACAAAA